CTGTTTGCTCGTCTCACCCATCGGTCAGCTCCCCGTAGGAGAATATGCAAATGATTCCATAGGGAAAGGTCTAAAGGTCACTCTGATCAATTTCTGGGGCCTCATCTCTAGCTCAGGGCCGCGCCAAAGCTCTGGAGCCTGAAACACACGAGGCCAAGGAGAGCCAAGTCTCAGGGTACATGCTCCGCATGCTCCGAAAAGAAACGAAGTAACGAGGCACGTGTCACCAAAATCACTACATGAACTACACACAAGGGAAATCATGAATAAGCGCTTTATGCAAGTGATATATTGGTTTCCCCTAAAGGTAGTGGCTGTCAGCGGATTCAACCTGACTACGGCATTGGCAATAAATTATGGTTTCTTCTCCAACTAGCACCCAAAAAGGAGCAGTTTTCTGTTTCTTAGGCCCCTCCCCGCAAGAAAAAGGCAAGGCACCGTGAAAAAAAAAGAAGCCCAAGAAATCAAGCCAAGCCGGAAGCCGGGCTTTGGTGTTTGGGGTCTTGCACGGTGAGGCAACGCGTTTTCTCCCGCTCAGATGAGTCGGTGGCTCCCTGCTGCACTGCTTCCCCTATTTTTGCAAAAACGAGGTTCCTTCTTTTCCGCAGCTGGGGTGGTTGGGAGCAGCTTTCAGTGAGGGTGCCGGGCCAGTTGAGGATATACCACCAAGGCTTCTGCGAGTTTCGGGGTTTCTCGGAGAGCGAATCTCGCCACTCGCCCCGCCTGCGTCTGCGACTTCATCACCTCCAAGCATGCCGCCAAAACCTGGCCCAAAGCATTTGGCCGCTCGTTGGGTTTGTAGCTTCGTGGCAATTGGTTCAACGGGAAACCCCCATGTTGAACCCGGCACAAGGATCAGGTTGCTACACCAAAAGGCCTCATGAGGCCCGCAGAATCGATATGGAAATCCAACCAACCTTGCCTTCTGCCAACATATGCAAACGAAAAGGCAAAAGGGCAAACATGTCAGCGAAGCCTTCATTGTGCTTCCACGTGTTAGGACGAAGCCACCTGATAGCCAGCAAGCCTGCCGAAAACTTAAGAAGAAACTCACATCTTGAGACAAGAAACCGGTTGGATCCCTCCTCAAAAGCCTGAAATGCGTCGTGCATGCTGGCACCAGCCTTACATGCCTGTTCCAGCCTCCAATCTGGGTGCAGGCGCGGTATCTACTGCGCCTGATTTGCAATTGCCCTGCTCAACAAGCAATCAGGATTCCTGCCAGGAAGCGCATGGCTTGCTTCATGTCTACCCTGGATTCATCAAAATGGGGGTCAACAAAAGCGGGTTCCCTCCCCTTCAAAACGGAACACCCCCATATGATTCAACTCAAGCCTGGGATACGCGTCCCTTCTACTATGTTCAACAATAGTTTTTCCATTTCTAGGCCAGCCTGTCCATTGGCCGTTTTGGTGCTTCCCAAAGAAGACATCCTTCTTGTTAGACTGGATTCACCATAGGTTCCATTTATAAGCACATCACACCTTATGAGCTGCGACATTTTTGCTACACCTCCAGCCCCCTCGCTCTGCGCCTGAATGGCCCGAGAGGAGTCATCTCCAGAGGCGAGAACGAAGATCTTGTCGAAGCGAGACAGGTCCTGCGGCGAAACGCAAATGCGTGGTGCAGGAACACAGGGCCCTATAGCAGGTTCGCTCTGGGTCTCAGGTGCGATGCTTCGAGCTGGTGCCCGTTTTCAGGTTGTTTTAATGGGAACTCAAAGGTGGAAGGGTTCCACCAGAAAACCTGCACTTTCAGGAACGTGCCCTTGGGCATCATTAGCCCTCAGGTGTCATGTTATTGTGGGAGAACGTGGGCTCAAAATCACGTCTCTCAACGAAATAAAAAGGGGTCGGGAAGGAAAACCCGCAAGAAACAAAAAGAGGTTTGGTTGGCGCAGCAAACAGTCCCTGAGCACTCCGGTAGTCGTTGCGGATCAAGCATGCTCTTGCCCACAGCCAGTGTGAAACCTGCGGACGCAACACCCAAGGATCAAGGATCTGATGCTGTTTCCGAGTGTTAACATGGGGTCTTGGAAACACAAATCGAAGCCAACTGTACCCATCCAAAGCTTGTCCTTTTGGCCTCCTTTCGGGGAAAAACAACCACATGGGACAGCGAAAATGAGGCCGCCACAGGATGCACTTGCTCAATTGAAATGCAACTGCCTATTCCATCATTTACCGTTGGGGATGTCTGGGTCTTGTCCTGGGCATCTTGGAGGGGATATCTCTCAGTCATGGCCACCTCACAACACGATTCATGGGTCATGGTCCTCTTTCCCGTACCCGCGCACACAAACGCAAACTATACATTTTTTAATCAGAGGGGTCGCTGAACTTCCCCTTTCTGGACGTTTATAGGAGCTTGTGGGCGAGATCCTGAGACCCCTGAACAACCCAGAGCAGCTTTTTGATATCAATCCAAAACTGCTCCTGCCGTTCAACCTAGCAACGAATAGCAACACACACATGATCACACTTCTGAGGCTAAGCATTGTTCCTTAGGGCGTACATGTCAGTCACAGCCCTGTTGAATTCCCTGCAACTGAAACGACATGTGTCTTGAATCTTAGCCGAGTATGTGTCAGCCGCCATGTTCTCCTCATCTGGTAGCTCCGTGCCTGAGCGCTGCCGAGCAAACTGTAAGCGTTTCCAAAAGCTTTAACCACAGGTCTCGTGTAGTTCATATTCTTTTCCTGGCCGCCTGCCTGTTCATCCACGGGCATGGTTCGGTCGGGCAACCAATGTCTGACACTCATAAAGTGTTGTTTCTCTCCTTTCGCGCTGTACAAGGCTGTCAAGACGCACCCGCACGACCCACCGTGAATGGAAAGCATCAAGCAGCTTTGCCATGTTCCCCGGAGCGTCGCGGGCGGTAATGGCCAAACATGATGCTGACACCAAAGCTACCTAGCAGTCCTCACCAACAGCTCCCAGCGGCAATGTTGCCTTCGCGACGCACAAACGCTTTGTTGACAAGCAAACCGAAATCAGGTGACCCAAACCATCCAATATTGAAAAAAACCAAGCGTGCCATGAAAAGCCATTGAAAATCGAGCGCACCATGAAATATGCAAAATTTCAATATTCCATCATTGGTTTTGCTGAAAACCGATATTGCTCTTGGAAACCAAAAACCAAGAGAGGTTTTCCTGAAATTCCAATAGCAATTTACATCCAAGAATGGAAAGCCCAGGAGTTCAAATTAAACTTTACTTGATGAATGAGGTGTGTGCATGGCATATTTCAGCCACATGGCCTTATTTCAGCCAAAGTGCTAATCCCACCTTCCTTCCCCAAATCTCCTCCATGAGATCCAGCCCAGCCAGCAACTCTGGAAGAACACATGGCAGCCAAAGTGCCAAGTGGTTTTCAAAAAGGGCCATGGCTGGACCCAGTAACAGCAGCAGGCTCCAAAGTGATTGGCTACTTGCTACAAAACACAGCAAAACACAACTCACAAAGGCACAAGCAGCTGCACTTCTTTTTCAACCTAGCCTGGTCCATTTCAAGTGCATTGCCACCCTATACTTCTCCAGCATCTTGGAAGAAACTTCATGGTTGGCTGTGCCTCTAACACAGCTGTGGCACAAGGTACTGGCTCTACCGACCAGGTCCTCACCACCATAGCACCAAAAATGCTTAGGGTTGAGGCCCCAAAAGCCTTCAACCAAATGATAATGGTAATGAAATTTGGGAACAACTAACCACATCTTGATTTTGTTCTGGACTGCTGCCTTGGACAGCCAGTTGTAATGGAGCAGAAACTTGTCACTGGCCTCCACCATTTGTAAATGAGATGCTTCAGGAACTACAAGCCCAGAGCTGTGCATGATGTCATACAGCTTGGACAGCTTGCAAATCATGGCCAGCATGTGCCTGCGAACTTCATCAGATGCATCACGGTACTGTCTGGCCAGCTCTGCACACATTGGCACAAGGGCCCTTACATTTGCAGCTTTCAAAAACTTCATTTCAGGATACTCCTGGTGTGGCTTTTTTGGATCACAGAAATTCTTCAGCTCCAAGCTAGTCAACTTGCTTCCATGGGCAGGTTGCACACTCAGGATGTACTCAGCCAGCAAAGCCACAGCAGTGGCTCTTGGCATGTGCTTGAGCTTGCAGTACACCAAATAAAACAATACATTGGCACAGGCATGTGAAGCCACACCCGAATCACTGATGTGAAGCCAATCCAGCAGGTAGGACCTTCTGCTCCAACCTATGATCTTGCAGAGTGGATGGGCTGGCAATGGTGTGGTGGCTGGTTTCTGTTTCCAACTGCTGGCGCCTGAAATCGAACCAGTTCTCAGCAGCAGTTTTGTTTCCTGGGCATAGATGGCAGGGCCTCTCTGTGGCCCAGTGTGGCAAGCCCAAGTCATTCTGCAAATAGTCTATATCACCTTGCACACCCAGCAGGAAAAAGAAAGTGCCATCATCAAAAATTTTCCTCCCAGCCCTTTCTCAAAAACCCACAGCTGCTTCTTTGCCCATCTATGTCCTATCGCTGACCCAAGTCTCTCATATGTAGGACATACACTTGCCATTGAAGATTCCAAACTGCATTGTCCAGCTTGTTGAGCACATACATGAGGTGGTCCTGAGTGGTCTGTGGTGTAGAACTCACTGCCACATCAGCCCATGCCCTGGAGCAATAGCAGCACCTGTACCCTTCTGGCAGCCACACCCAGCTTCGACCACTTGGGCCACACTGGACAGAGTCACACACCAAGTAGATCTGCTGTCCATCCATGGTGGGCTGGCACACAATGCTACAAACAAGGGCTCCAGCTAGCACAAACTGCTCAGGAGCCAAAGGCAACATGCTATATATGTTCAACATGCCTGCATGCCAGAATCCACTCAATCTCTTTAGCTCTCATTTGCTGTTCATGTGGATGCAGCTGCCAATGTATTTTGCCATTGCCTTTTGCCATGTACCATGCAAAACTTGATCAATGCATGGCCTGCATCTCACCCAGCTGCTTGCAGCAGTAGTCCTTCATGCTTGCCACCTCCACCTGCCTCATCTGCAGCAGCTCCTCAGCGTGAGCCACCTCCTCTTTCTTCAGCCCACAGGCCTTGGCAGCTTCTTGCAATTCCTCAGCCATTTGCTCCATTTCTGAAGTGTTGGCAAGCTGCTTCATCTCACTGGCCTCATTCTGATCTGCCTTCTCTTCATTCCATTTGGCCCAGTCCTCTGCAGACCACTTCTTTTTCCATGTGTCCTTTGAGCCCCTTAGTCCGGCTCATGCCCTGGTTTGGCTTCTCCTTTTCCTTCTGGAGCACCATGGTAGTGGTGCTGGATCACACCACAGGCAAGCTGCCTGCCTCATCCAGCCACTCAGGGAAGCTCATGTAACCTGGTCAAGAAACACATGTGTACAAAATTGCCCCCCCAAGCATGCCATCAAAGCTCCACATGGACAATTGCCCACACACACACATGCTGGCTCAAAGTCACAAAACACAGTGCCATTTGATTAACATTGCAAAACCCAATTGCATGGCAAGGAGCTATTTGCGTCATCCTCAGCATAGGCGCCCCTCAAGGCTGTCCTCAACCTCCTGGCCCCCTTGCCATGGTTCATGCCATAGGGCTGGGTGTAGTTGTAGCCCTTGTTCTTGCCCTTGCCCTTGCCATAGGGCCATGGCTCCTCCTCCCATAGATTGGCATAGCCCTTGTTCCAAGCCATGGCTGATTCCCGGAAGGCTTGGAACTCTACAATCTCACTGTACATGGCTGCAAGGACAACTGACTGACAATCCAACATACCAGGCCAATAGGCAGGCATTTTTCAGCCTTCCCAGCAAGGCCCCAATACGTGCTTGCTAATTGTCAGGCATGTTTCAGCCCTTCCATTAGGCATATCTCAGCCTATTTTGTTGCATGTTCAGTATCCTGTAAGAAACATACTGCAGCTTGCTTTAGGCATTTTGCAGCCTTCTTCGAAGCATTCTCCCGCCTTTTTCTTTCTGCTTTTTTCCAGTTTGCAGGCTGCTTAAGTTTTTCTTCAAGCATTTTCCAGCCTTTTCTCAGGCATATTCCAGCCTTTTTTCTTAGGCTTGTTCCAGCCTGCTAGGAAGCATGCATGCAGCAACAGCAGGCAAGAGTCATTTTTCTAACTTGTCAAGTCTCTGGCACGAAGGTGCAGAAAGGCATTGTTTTCACAATAGCCAGCCCCCCCAATTGAAATGCAAAATGCATTCCCAGCTGTTTCTTGCACCCACTAGCTATGCTAGGCAAGCAAAGCATCCCTCAAAGAGCAGGCTGTCTCCTTGTCGTACTTGGCAACATCTTCCATGGTGCACTTGATCTTGGTGATGATCTTCAGGTGGGACTTGCTCTGCTTCTCATGGATGCAAACCAAGTGCTTCCTCTTGCAACCTTCCAGCACTTGCAGGCTTTGGCCTTTGTGAGATAGATCTTGGGGTAGCCTTTTCCTTTTCCTCCCCTATCATGGCCTCCAGCTTCTTCTGCGCAAACCACAGGGCTGGGATCTGCCTTGTCACTGCTGCGCTTGCCCTTTCCCAATTTTGTTTTGGCTTCAGGAGAAAGTTTTTCTTTGCCATTGGGGACTTCACTTTCTTGGCAGGCACAGGGCTGCATGCCAGTGCTTCAAAGTCCAAACCCATAGCAGACTCAGCGCCGCTGCTTGGCTCTGTGCCAAGAGTGCTGGTGCTTGTCCCTTTGTAAGGCAAATCTTGGACCTTACCTGCAAGCTTTTCTAGCTGCTCCTTCTCTTGCTCTGTCAAAGTGGCCTGAGCTTGCCTCATCCTCACCTTGCTGTTTTTGATCCTTCTGAGGTGGGCCATCACAACAAGGATCCTGCCTGCAACCCACCCTGCCCACCTGTCCAAGGACATGCCCCTGTCACACAGGCCTGGCAAGTGGTGGTTGGTCTCCTTGACTGCCTCCTTCAGGTCACCATAGTTGAACAAGCCACTCTTGCTGACACCCAGCAAGGCAATGATCATTGCCTCCAATGCTAGCAAGCCAGCACCCTTCACAGCATGACAAGAACACACCCTTGTAGCAACCAAAGCTGAAGGCTTTGGAAATGCCCTCTTTCTTGCTGTGCTCAATGAGGCTGCTGGTGAGCAAGGCTTTGCTGCAACTTGGGGTAGGCAACCTTTTCACAGCCTTTTTCTTCACTTGGTGCTTCTGGCTGACACCCAACTTCCCCATGGCTGGTGGCAGTCAGGAATGAGGAAACCTTGAGCCTTGCACAAATGGCATGCATATGGCCAAGCTGCACATGGCTCCAAAAAGCAAAACGAAACAAATAATTCATTCGCATGTGTATTGACCTGGGCTGGAATCTGTGTTGGCAGGCATATCTCAGCCTTTCAGTCTGTTGGACTGTGGCATGTTGCAGCCATTGAAAGTTGTTGTTTCCAGAAGTTAAAATCAATATCGAAAATCTGGTTTTTCAATATTGCACTGGCTTCTTTTTCGATAGCAAAACTACTAAGGCTATTAAGTTGTGACTGTCATTTTTTTGAAATTCAATCGTGCAGTTTTGAAAATCTACCTGCAAACCGAGATTTCGAGCGCACCATGAAAATCACAGAATTTCATGAACAAGAACGGTTTTTTTCAATAGTCGATGGTTTGGGGATGCCTGGTTCAATCGCACGCGCGCGAACAACTGAGAGCCAGCCCCTCTACAACGCGCCCCGGTGGCTTCTCCAAGTGTGACGCTCGAAGCAGGGCAGGCGAACCTGCTTCGACTTGAAGAAGCCCGCTTGAATCGCTTTGCGCCCAAGACAGCTCTCATGGAGCTCTCGAAAACAAGTTTGCTTGCAGGCCCTCGCGCCACTCAGCCACAAACTGCCGCAGGCGCAACGGGAGCCAGCCAGGGCCAAAGGCCGATGCATCTCTCGCGTGGGGGCTTACGCCCGCGCAGGTTAGCGTACTTCGTCAATCACAGGAGCAGCACCGCTAGCGAAGGAACTCCACCGAACCCATCTGCTTGCGTGGCCTTGACCTCGCAAAGGGGAGCGGCGTGCTGTGCTGCACGGATTCTGAGGAACGATGAATTCAAAACGCAGTGCGCTCTCTCGGCAGGATAGACTTTTGAGAATGCAATTTGGACTGGATGAGGCCACCCGAAGGCACGACAATTGCCATGAAGCCTAAAGTTTGCCAGTCGAACGCTTGAACCCCAGGCAGGCCAAATAAACCGTGGCCTGGCCACATGAGTTTTACCCTGAATGGCATTGTCTTCAGCGTAAGCACACATGCAAAAGCTAGGAACCCGCACAAATTGATATTTCCGCGGTTCCCGAGAGCCCCTCATCTCATTTAGCCGAGTCGATGGGATTCCAAAGGCGGTAGTTATTACGGGGTGTTATAGAATTAACGCAACAGCCAAATTAGGTGGAGGAGTGGACCTTCCCATTGCCCAATGTTAAGTTTGGGTTCGGTTAAGTTGCTTAATCTTTTGCACGATCGCATGCGATAAGTCATACATCATGCCATAAATCATCAAATATTTTACCTTCGACCAAATCGATGAATTGCTTAATGCCACAGAACAATCCAGCCACATGATCAACCTTCAATTTACTGTGAGCAATAGGCCACTGCCATGTGCAGGAACCAACATCCAAAACATCACAACAGGAGTTAAATAGTTTATGTGTTTGTTGCTTCTAGTCGGCATGTTGTGTTTTTGGGGGGCAAAACCACAAACAGTCTTTCACGGCCAAAAACGGTGTTTCATGCTAATTTCACGGTAGTGTCACGCTACTTTCAGGACTGTCCATACTAGAGCCCAGCAAGGTATTTGCAATCACGAGGATATCGTCGCAATATGTTCAGAAGGATAGCTTCTGCAGATTGTGCAGCCCTCAAATAACGAGATTGAAATCTTCGGCTATGCGCAGCAAATTGCTTTGAGCTATCTTTTTTGTGATGCAAACTTGGGAATGCTCAGTTACTCGATACCTTCCAGATATTGGACTTCAAAGGTCGGTTCAGCTGTAACAGTACTAATTGCACTATAAACTTGATGTTGTAAAGAAAGCATATCTTTAAACACTTGACTCGCAGCGCTGCCCCAGAACCCTCAATGTCATAGCCAAAGCGACTGCCTTGAGGCCAAAGAGCAATTTTGTTGGCAGGAGGGCTGTAAAAACAATGCTATATTACGCAAATGGCTGTTACTGGCCAAAAACGGTCGTTCCGAGAGACCATTAAAAAAGCAGTCGAGGACTTCCAGGCGAGTGATATGCAAAAGAGCAATCTCACCCTCGTTGCAAAGTATCAGAAACAATGGACCAAACTGGAACACTAAGTTTCGCCAAATTGACTTTGCGCATGGAGAAACTCTGCTTTCAATCAGCTGGCTCCTTCATATCGCTGGGTCATTCCGCTTTCAGAAAGCCAACCTGAGAGAAGCTCTGGGACGCCCTGCAGGAAGGAAGCTCACAGCTCCCGATGCGGATTTGCAGGAGCCCAAAAAAAAGAGCAAGCAGGATACAACTATGGCTATCAATCACTTCCTATATGGAATGCAACCTTCGGCCTCACTATTGCGTTCGTGCCAGGCTCCTTCGGCATTCTTCTCCTTTGTCGTTTTGGCCTTGAAGCTTTCTCAACCGCTGGGTCTTCGGTCACAACCATCTTCCATAATACAGCTCTTGCAAGGCTCAGCTATAACACGGCTTCGCACGTCAGTGCTTCCAACAATTCGGAAACGTGAAAATGAGGTGTCTGCAGAGAAGAAGACAGACCCATATTCCCCCCCCCCCCCACGCCCAAAAGCCGAGGTGACGCGGCAAATGAGGGATGAAACGCACCGTGATTGCCCGAGCAATAACAGCCACTTTTCAAAATGTATCATGGCACCCCACATCAGCCAACAACTGAATCGAGGGCACTGAAAAGAAACTGGCTTATAACCTCAATTTAAACAGCTTGCTGGCGCGGTTTCAGAGCGCTTCTGAGTGCTGAGCATATTTGTGTGCTTGGGCGACTTGAGCTTCTCGATCTGCGTATGCGAGCACTTGTGCTTGATATCCAATGTACAAGCGTACTAGAATGCTCAACTGCTAATTGGCGACATCTATGCATGAGGGAGCTAGTTCTGTTCCTGGATTAGGACTCACTTCCTCAGCGGCAAAGCACTGCAACAGCCTGACCGGGACAAACCGCTGGGCTCACAAGACTGCACAGGAACAAATCTAAGGGGAATCAAGACCTTGGCTGCCCTGTTTCGGAACGTCTTAGCAAGACGCGATACATGAATGAGGCGCAGGAAGCTGTCCAACACGTTCCTGACAAAGAGAAAGGAGGGCCAATCGTCAATGGGCCACTGGTCCTTGCCAAGGTTGAGCTTGTCTTTACGCCAATTCAGGAATTAATGTGATTGTCATCCAAGTAGCTTTGTCAACGCTCCATCAATTGGTTCTCTATCTCCATTCCGCCCTTGGCCTTGTGTCCATTGTGTTTGCTTTTCCGCAGCCTTTTTTGCCCGTGCTCGGCATGCGGCAGAATAGTAGGCCACGGCAAGCGCATTCTCCAGCGACTCGGAAGGTCTCGTGTCTGCTTCGCGGCGAAACGAGGACGGGAAGTCCCAGCTGCAGCCCACTGCCGCGAGCACCTGAGCGCGAGCAAGCCGGAGATGCTGGTGGCAGCCTGCTCTTCGGAAGATGCTCAAAGAGAAACCCAAAACCCAAACGACTGTCCAGCAATACAAAGAGACAAACACGCCTTGCATGAGCCTTCAAAAGAGCGATTAAGTTAAAACAGCGTCTGATCCAAAAGCAGCGCAAGGCCAAAGTGCGGAAATTGGTCTTCAAGTGCTCAAGGGTAACTTCTCCCTCCAAGTGGTGTGAACAAATGTCATCCAAGCTTGACAACAGACTTCTGCAAGTGGTTTGCTGTACTCACTTGCCCGAAGATGTTGGGGTTTGGCTGAAAAGTGGCTATTGGGGGGAAGCCAACAAGTGAGAAACAAGCAAACACGGGTCTCAGGTCTCATCCAAGTTGCCCGCAAGAGCTCTGCTGGCGGCCGGCTCTCACAGCACATGCCTGGCCTGGAGCTGCAAAAGGCATAAGCCCTAGGATGATGAAGCGCATGCCGCATATGTCACAAAGCCCGTGCGGATTCCAGGAAATCCAAACAGAAACCAGGCATTTCGGGGGGCCCCATTTGGAGCGTAGCCCTAGTGTCGTTGTCTCATGCGCGTGGCCTGTTCAGACACTTTCCCACGCATTGGATATGCATGAAGACTCATGGCTTCAGCTGGCGCAAAGGCAGGCAATCAACTCACGGACTTGTAGTGGTCAAACAAATGGGTTCACTTCTCGGCTTCTCTTTAAACCACCCCAGAAAAAGGGACGCCTCTGCAGCGACAGCTTCATCAGGTGGCACCAGGGCCGCGCCAGCCCGAAAATGGCCCGGGCGCGGAGGTTGGCGCGCTGGTTCCCGAAGCGGCCTTCGCAGATGTCGGTGGAACTCGGACTTCAAACCCAGCTAAATTGTTTGAGCGTCTCTTTTTCTAGGGCAACATCTCAAAATTGCCATTTTCCGGTTATTTAAAAGCAACAAAACCAAGGTACACGCCAAAGGACACGCTCATGTTTGCTTGCAGGGGAACATGAAGGACACCCAAAAGGCAAAAGGGCATTTAGGCTGCCTCCCTATGTGTTTCTCGTGCAGTCTCTGAGCTGACCCAACATATGGCAAGCGCTGCAAGTCACGTGTAAAAGATTCCCTGGAATAGACAAATCCAACTATAGAGACATGCCAGGGGTCAACAGTACCCGTGTCAATGGCAAATACAGAGCCTTTGACTTTTGCGGATCTAGACTGGAACCACATCTCTTCTGAGACTAGCCGTAAAGGCCGAAGATGTCAGGTTTCCCGAAAAGATCCTCACTAAAAAGTACCCAGTCCAGAAAGCCTGAGCAACGGCAGTAAATTTCCAGTTCAAGCATCAGCAGGATCCGAGAAAGGCTTCTTGTGGATTCACATGGGGGTTGTCCTATATTCCTTTGCCCGGGATTGGGCCCTTGGGCCGCACTTGCGCGGACTTGCGCGCGTACAGTGGCGCAGAAACTCGTTTTCGTCGACCTCGGTTTGCAAAGTTTTCGTGTGGATTGCGCGCGAGATTGTCTAAGCAGTGTGTTTGTCGTTCAAGACAGCAACCCACAAAGACTCTTCCCGCTGAGGTCGCTCCCGGCAATTCAATGCAAGCAACATACCCTTGACTCAACAGAAAGGATAGCAGGCTCTGCCACACAGCTTGGACACAGCCTGAAAGAAGGAAAGTGCATGTTGCGGGTGCCTATCCATTGCTTCAACCGCGCCGCTAAAGACATCCGAGACAGCATGGCTAGATGTCTTGCTGGGGCTTCTCGTGCTTGCGCGCAACTTGCGCGCGGCTTGGGCGCGGCTTGCGCGGATTTTGTCGTGTTAGTTGCTGATTGTGGAAGTCATGACCGCAGAAGCTTTGGCTTCGTTTGGCGTCTGACTGAAGAAAACACCGCACCTTTGCAAACAAGCTTGTGACCTACACATGACCCAAGCAACATTCGAAAAGGACAAGTACAGCAAGAAGATATCACCTCCTTTCATGAAGCTAGGCAACATCAGTACATGAAACCCTTCAAAACTGTAACCTTGCGCGTCCCTTGGGCCGCACTTGCGCGCCTTGCGCGCGCACAGCTTTTGACAACTTTTACTTCTCCCCGTTCGGCGAGAATTAAAACCGAAGACTGGGGTTTTAGGACGGCCCTCACATGGAAGCAAAACCAACAGATGGCAACGTTCAGTCATTTCCTGGTTCCCTTGCAATGCCCAACATACATGGCTTGGTTCACAGGTTAACTTTTCGAAAGGCGCTTGATGTTAACCCAGGATGCATCAACCTGCCGAATCAGTTTGCAGGGGGATGTTCCCCCAACAAGTCGTCCAGGATGTCCTCTAAAATGGGACAACCCGCCCATTAACCAACCAAGGGTGCGTGTGTGTGTGAGGGTGTGTGTGAGGGTGTGTGTGTGTGTGTTTGTTTGCTTGCTTGTTTGTTTGATTGTTTTTGTTTGTTGTACCCTTTGCAGCTCGTTTTGAAAGGGAAGCCAGAAGGGACACCCACCACAAAAAAAACTCGCCTTAAGAGGCTCGAAAAGGAGATGTTTAAAGCCACAGAAAAACAGGAACCCCATGGAACCTGCCATTTCTGGGCTCCAACCACCCCGATTTCACGCAAAGCGACGTTTTCCTACGCGGGTGCAGCTCACGCCAAGGGGCGGTCACCCCACACAGGGAAGCCGAGGAGGTGCAAGTGCCTGCGGCCCGTAAGAAATGTCTCAGGTGGGAGGGTACCCGGAAGATCAGGTTCCTCTTGGAGGGACCCCCTGTCAGGTGCCATGGTAGTGGAAGATAGGGTAACTTACCGGAAATTCTACAGGGAAACAACTCATTTAGGTTGTTCTGCGGCTGTTTCCACAAGATTTTCCTGCAAGTTAACCCTTTGAATGTAAGCCATAGGATGGGCCTGACACTGTGTGCACCAACCTGGGGCTGCTTGTTGTGAAGAAAAGCGCCGGACCCTTTGAGTTCCTGAAGGAAGGCGCAAGTACCCTTGAGGCTTAGCAAGCAGAAAAAAGGCCATCCTCCCAACGACGGGAATCTTCAGCATGGGTCCCCGGTCGAAAACCCAGGCCCCATTCGCAAGGTCGCTACCAATGGCCAAGAGCGATGCCAACGCAAGCGGTGAGACATGCCCTGCGGAGCTCTGATGGACGGCTTGGATTTATTCATACGGCGCCTAACGATTTGGAGCTGCTCATTTGGAAGCTGGCAGGCTGTTTTTCTGTGAGCTTCCCGAAACGCACCTTCCATGGTTGAGACCAAAATTTTCGAAGGAAAACCAGCGAGATTCACCACTTGTGCATTCCGTCAAGTCAAGCTTCGGTGTTTGATAGAAGTCTGCAGACTGCACCTTTCCTTTCCTTTGCGAGCTCCGAGTCTGGCATAGACGCAGCTAATGCTTGAATTAGGGCTAGAGGAAAATAAAAGTCTGCAGACTGCACCACGCCATTCCAACGCTAGAGGAAAACCCAGCTACAACTCTAGAGTCCAGCATTCAACGGATGCCATGATTTGAGCCTACCCTTTGCAAACCGCGGGTCAGTCAACACAGCAGCAGCCATCCAACAATGGAATTAGAATCAAATCATGCGCCTGCTTGCGCAAAGCTTCAAACGCATTGTTTCCAGCAAAGGAACAACGAACACCCATTGAGGGGGGTTGTCAAAACTATGGCCCCTTTTCGGTATCCCCTTTCAAAGGCGGCGCATAGCGGCGTAGCGGCGGGGTCCAGATATTGACGAGAGCGGCGCGAGTGGCGCCTGCACACCTGCGCCTTCAGCTCATCCCCCTCCACAGTAGCTCGCAGCAATGAGCCTCGGCCGTTACGTGGGCTTTGGCTCAAAGTGGGAAAGTCCTTACTGCCTTACTCCCTAACTTTCGCGAACGGCAAATGCTGTTTACTTGTTGAGACACAGGGGTGTTCCCTAAAAATAGACCCCTACCTTAAGGGGACGTAAACTTGAGGTCCCCCAGTTCTATATGTGTGTGTGTGCTCGCAAAGGCCTGCATGGAAGAGAGGCCAATGCCCTGAGAGGAGTAAACTACGCGTAAAACCACGGACTGCGTCTGCTTCTGTCGCAGCATCTTTGCAACTCGTTCGTCCCTCTTCCATCCACTGTCTCCATTGCGTGGCCTTTGAGGCTCATGACATATTAAGATTAAGACTAAAAGCTAAGGAACATAATGATACAAAGAGACTGTAAATCCAGATATTTGTAAAGTCTGGTCTCTTGTTCTTTCATCTCTTATCTCAATCTATCCTCATCCCTCACTCCCTTCAACCGCTACAGCGTAATTAGAAGAGTGGGAGTGAGGGAATGATAAGAGCTGGAAAACAACCATTCTCCTCCAAGCCCCTATTCAAGGAAAGAAGCATTGAATGCACCTGGCCT